AATACAAACCCCAGTTTTATCTCCAAAACAGCCTCCATTTCATGAAGCAAGTCAAGTGTACCCATGTGGGAAAAAACATTACTATTTAAAGATTGGATATACTTGATTGTCTTTGTGTAGTTTTTTCTGTATGTAATTTTTACTGACATTGAAAAGAAAGCAAACAAAAAACCAGAATGGAAACCAGAAAATTCTCCTACTGCGTTGGTCTATACGGCTCAACAACAGAATTGGCAATACATTCATGTAACTTCCGATCAGTAGATTTATATGGATTTGAGTCATTTGGCTGATGTTGTAGACTTTGACTTTTGTAGCCTTGATTCTAAAAAAGGAATAACGTTGACAGCACGGGCAAGGCAAAACATTTAGGCCATTGTTGTGTTTCTCAGTGGTACTGCCTATATATAGCACATAGCACTGCCTGTAGTGGTACCGTAAGTATACAGTAACAGATTTATGACTTCTGCCAACTGTGCAAAGAAAGTGATCACTAACATTAATAGGCTGTCATCCCTAGAGGACAAAAGTGTGAAATTGAGGGGCTTTCTTCAATTACGCTGCAGCTTCTGGTAAGCTCACTGATCTAGTGAGTATCAGACCTCTCCTGCCCTTTTATTTGCACTTCAGGTTTGTCTCTTGTTTCTATAATCCCTTGCAATCCATTTCTGTGTTAATTCTACTCCTGAATCCTACCCTAATTTACATTTCTACCTTGCTCATCCAGTCCTGGTTTTCCTCTTTCTTCCTCCTTCATTCCTTGCTTGATACCAGTCTTCATCACATGCTTTTTGTTTCAGCCTGCTTCCTTCCTTGCAGTTACCTTATTTTCTACCAGCATTGGTATCCTCCCCATGAACAATTCCATCTACCCAAAAGCATTATCTTCCCAATAGTCCAGATCAGGTGTTCTCTGCATTTTATTCAGGTTTCCAGCTTCTTCATTCTGCTAGGTAACAGCAGGGGGAGCATCAAGAAAGGAATACTTGCTAGTGCTTGACTGGTACAATTGTTCAAAACCAGTTGCAGTTTTGAAGCTCTGGGCTGGACTAGCAACACAGGAAATTCATCCTCAGAAAATTCCTAATGTTATTCCTAACCAATTCCCCAGTATTTTCATACTCACATCTTTCCAAAATGTTCTTGGCAAAAGACATATCTGTGGCATCAACATGTCCCCACTCTGGTCAAGTTTTCCATCGCCAGATGGAATGCTTGAATGTTTCAGACTGCAGCAGGGAAATAATTTGCCTTTTACCTGATCTTTTAAATATAGGCAAATTGATCTCTTTGCCCTCTTCTTTCCTTTCTAAACAAGAACTATTCTTGTCAAATTTCCTTTTTTACTATCACGCGTACTATTTGAAAGCTAATACAGAAACACCACATAAAAAAAACCCTTCAGACCAAACTATTACGTCTTGGCAATCAGACATAGTTGTATCCACTAAGGAACATCAAGTAAATTTATTTATGCAACACTACACATCACTGATAGTACCACTCAGGAACACAACTGAGGCCTAAATGTTTTGCCTTACTGATGCCATCAACTTTTTTTCTTTTTTAAAATCAAAGCTACAAAAGTCAAGATCCAAACCAGGCAAATGACTCAAACCAAATCTCTAAAATTTTGCAGTGAAAGATTATTGAAGAACAGATAATAATTTCTACTATACAAATAATTTTTTCCCCAACAAATCAATGTGTCGATCTTTAACAAATCCTTGAGTGAACGGAGTTTGACTCAGTGTGACCCACTCCCAGATATCTGTACGCTATTTTAGCTTAATAAAGTAGATACTTCTCGTGCTTTACTTGGAGGTGAGCTTTGTTTTGGGTTTTTCTAAGAGGAAAATGAAAAGATAGTATGTCTACTGCAGTAGTAACTGCATCTTTTAGATTACGTAAGTATATATTTTCTCAACTATAATCTTGTACAATTTAGTGTTGTTTGGGAATACTAGTTTATTGGAAAAGATCAATTATATGCCTGCTGAGTGATTTTTTTTTTTTTTTGATTGAATACTGGAAAAAGTCAGATTCTTAAATGCCCCATGAAGATGTGATTTCCTCCCCCTCCCCCAGTCCTTTTCAATAATGAAGTTCATCTTCCTCCTTGTCCTGGTTTCAGCTGGGATAGAGTTCATTTTCTTCCTAGTAGCTGGTACAGTGCTGTGTTCTGGATTTAGGATGAGAATAATGTTGATAACACACTGATGTTTTGGTTGTTGTTGAACAGTGCTTACATTAAGTCAGGGCCTTCTCAGCTTCTCATGCTTCCCTGCCAGCGAGTAGGCTGGGGCGCACAAGAAGCTGGGAGGGGACACAGCCAGGAGAGCTGACCCCAACTGGCCAAAGGGATATCCCATACCATATGACGTCATGCTCAGCACATAAAACTAGGGGGACAGCTGGCCGTGGGGCCACTGCTCAGGAACTGGCGGGGCATCAGTTGGTTGGTAGTGAGCAACTGTTTTTTCATTTGCATCACTTCTTGTTTCTTGGGGTTTATTTCTCTCCCTCTCTGTTATTTTCCTTTTCATTACAATTTATTACTATTAATAATTTTATTTCAATTATTAAACTGTTCTTATCTCAACTCATGAGTTTTGTTACTTTTACCCTACTGGGGGGGGCATAGTGGAGGAGTAAGCAAGTGGCTGCATAGTACTTTGCTGCCAGCTGGGGTTAAACCACAACACTCCTCCAAGAGGGTGGCTTTCCCAGTCACTTACTAATTTTATTTTCAGAGCACCAAATATTTTCAAGGTCAACTAACCATTGCTATAAGCAGACAAATTGAAGGTACTCTAAGTTACTCTTTGTCCTGGTTTCGGCTGGAATAGAGTGAATTTTCTTCCCAGTAGCTGGTACAGTGCTGTGTTCTGGATTTAGGATGAGAATAATGTTGATAACACACTGATGTTTTGGTTGTTGTTGAACAGTGCTTACATTAAGTCAGGGACTTCTCAGCTTCTCATGCTGCCCTGCCAGCGAGTAGGCTGGGGCGCACAAGAAGCTGGGAGGGGACACAGCCAGGAGAGCTGACCCCAACTGGCCAAAGGGATATCCCATACCATATGACGTCATGCTCAGCACATAAAACTAGGGGGACAGCTGGCCGTGGGGCCACTGCTCAGGAACTGGCGGGGCATCAGTTGGTTGGTAGTGAGCAACTGTTTTTTCATTTGCATCACTTCTTGTTTCTTGGGGTTTATTTCTCTCCCTCTCTGTTATTTTCCTTTTCATTACAATTTATTACTATTAATAATTTTATTTCAATTATTAAACTGTTCTTATCTCAACTCATGAGTTTTGTTACTTTTACCCTTTCCATTCTCTCCCTCATCCCACTGGGGAGGAGGAGAGTGAGTGAGCGTTTGTGTGGTGCTTAGTTGCCGGCTGGGGTTAAACCATGACACTCTTTTATACCAGCAGACAACAGGGTACATTTGACAGAATTTATCCATCAGAAAGATAGTTCATCAAGGTGGAGAAGCCTGAAGAAGTGACTGTACGTTCCTTCTTAAAATGTCTAGCTTGGGGATTAACAAAAAAACCCCAAACAATTTTTAACTACTTCAAATTGACACCTCTTGGCTGACACTATGATATGTAACCCTGAAGAATGGTCTCTAATATTTACCATCTTCCCTTTGAGTTTTGCCAAAAAGTTGCAGAGAAAGTATGTAAAACCAACAATAAATTGGACAACAAGCAGGCTAAGGCACACCTCTAATAGAAATTCAAAATCCCTTTAAATGAAAAAGTACTACAGAATAATCCTAAAGGCAACACAGGTCTACTAAGTATATCCCAATGCACTAGGTCAAGAAATGAGCATATAAAAAGCTGACACAATAATTTCTTTCTCTTTGTCAGCTGGTAGGAATGCAAACATGCCAAGCAAAAACATACTTCAAACATGATGAGAAGTTATGTATTATTCAGACATAAATTTGAATGTGCAAGACTAAAATCTAAGTTATTTCCACGATAAACTGTACTAGAGCATATATTCTGAGCACAAAAGTAGTAACAAGAGATAGAAGAGACACTTTTCTCTAGAGTAATAAACCCTAAAGATCTTTGTGTTTCTAAGGCCCAGAGAGCAAGCACTGCAGCTCTTGATTCACAGATTACAAGTGTGCTTCTTGTAATTACCTCCCTATCAAATTTTAAAGTAACAGAAAATTTCTACTAAGCTTGCCATATACAACTCTGTTAAACAGTCAAAACAAGAAAGTACAAATTGTCATGTCAATCATTGATTTACCAAAAATTAATACAAGATCACCTTCAAAATGTCATGTACTATGTTACTGCAACTAATTTCTACTTGCCTAACCAGGCATTTGTGTGATAAGCTCTTTAGATGTATTCATTTTAGATATGACAAATTAGATGTTCAAAGGACCTAAATGTTAAGATGTGCACACTATTCATTACGTAAAAAAAAAAAGACTCATTTATATTATGCTTCCTTAAAACAGAGGCTCTTAAAGCACCTAAATAATGACTAACATCGCAGTCATTCTAAGTAACCTATACCTGCCCTTCTTCTACAGTTTCATGTTCTTTGCTGAACTACTGATACAGTATGCATTTTCTCATAATTTTACCTTTTCAGAACTGTAATTACATCTATTACAAAAGTAGCCAGATTCTCTGGAATAAGTCCCATTCTCAATGAATTTCATAAGAAAATAGCAAAGATGTCTTTCATAATTCTTTCTATTATATATAAGCAATGAAGCAAAATAATCACAAAAAACAAGTATTAAAGAGATTATCAATGACAAAAGGTGCTTTAATCATTTGGGGGTATTTGAAAATTGATTTAGGAATTAAGTAAAGTCTGTGAGAAAGAACTTATTATAAGAACTTGTCAAAAGTTAAAAACACAGACTAGAAAAAAGTTTTTAATTGTACAGTATATTTTAGCTCCTATCAATCACTGTTAAAATAATTTCAGAGTTTAATAAGCAGATATTTACCTGCTGGAACAAGACAATCTTTCCAATCAAAATATCCTGCATAAATGCCAGGTTCTAATGACCCAACTATCGGATCTGCCTTGAATTCAATGTACATTTCAAACAGTCTCTGATCCAGCTCTTTCAATTAGTCCATACTAACCTAAAAAAACAAAACACAAAACAAAACAAAACAAAAAAAAAACAACAAAAAAAAGAAAGAACAAAATAAACAGTCATTAACTACAAGAATTAAATCACATATCCAAAAAATTTATCTCATGTCTTCTTTAATTTTCGGTAAAGAGTAGCAATTACTTACACATTTGAGTTCATAATTACATACATAAAACCTAGGAACTTCCATGTTATCTGTTCATCCTACCCAGTGTAATTATTTTTTTTTCAGTTGTGCACAGCAACAGACATTTTTGGGAAAAGTCCAAGTAATGCCAAAGCAGGTGGATCACTCTGTAATTGTGGAATGGCATGACTCTTTCTGCATGTCAGGAGGCCTTGATCTTGCACCAAGTAAACAACTGAATTTTGTCAATACTTTAAAATATGCTTATAATAATTTCCATCCTGAAACATGATGATTTTCATATAATACTTACTATCTACAATTGTAATATTACAATTTCTCACTATTTGCTCTGTATTTGAAAAATACATAGATTTATTTAGGAGTCTCTGCCTTCTTAACTGTACATGTGAACTTCCCTGCTCTACTTCAAGGTGTCTCTGCACAACAGATGTATAAGCTGCAGCTCACCAACATCTGCAGAATTTTTCTCTTTAACAGCACTCTATGCAATTTTTAGTAATTCAAACAAACTAGGCAAACTGCAAGCTAGAAGGGCATGCACAGTTTGATCATTGTATCCAAACAACTTCAAATTTCATACAAGACGTTTTATCAAACATAGCTACCCCCTGTAATTATAGCTTCTAAAACAATTCTGGAATACAATGCATATCGTAAAATGTTAAAGTAGAAAGTCAGTATCAAAGGATGGTAACAGATGCTAAATGCAAATAAAATATGCTGAAAATATCACATGACTTCTACTTAAATGTACTTATGTTTATAAGTAAAAGCTTAAGTAATAGCAAAGTTTTTAAATTAGTACTCATTTCCCTCAACCATTAGGGAAAAAAGCATATACACACACACACACATATATATACATACACTCATATATATATGATAATTCCAAGAAGCAAATGGGTTTAAAAGTGAGGAAGAAGGCAAGTCTCTAGATCAAATCGGGAATTCAGAAGAAGAAAGAAAGAAAAGAAGAATATCAACTCCTTACTATTCGTTTCTAAAGATTTAATGCTGCAAGCTGCAGAATAAGCGATAAAGCTTATTCACTGCAGGGGTGTCTCTAAATTGTGTTCTCCTCTGGCATGTCTATATTATTAAGCGAAGAGAAAAGGGAACTGCAACATTTGAGTGGGGAATAGACAGACAGATAAACCTTCAGGAATGAGATCATAGTGCAAGGAAAAAAAGACGTATTACTGAGGTCAATGTTGCTGCCAGATTCAGGACAGTTGGGATGGTGAAGTTGGTGCTCATAAACAAGAGACACTACCACTTTCCTGCTTTTCTATCTGATGAACCTCCTTCAATTTGTCACAAGAGGATCTATATTCCAAAGACAGGGTTTTCACGAGACACTGAGAATTTGGTCCCAGGAGAAGATCAAGGCTATTTTCTTCTTTCCCATCTACCTGACAGCCTGTTGATACTCAAGAGTTGCAAAAGAACACCACACTCAAAAATGTACAGAAATCTCACTCTTTTTCTCCTTACACAGGATCACAGAAATGTAAACCCAGAATGAGTTTCAAAACATTTTTCAGTTCAATTTCTTATGATTAGGGAGAATAACTCTCTTTAGACCATTCCTATTTAGGTTTAAGCTAGTGGGAAAAACAAAGAACAAGTTCTAGTGGGAAGTCCCTGCAAACATGCATCCATTCAAAGAATCTATGAAACAACTGCTTCAGTGGTCCTTAAGGTGTTTTAGAAGTAATTCCACCTTCCAATTCTGCAGTCATTCAATGCAAAAGATCATCTGCACATTCAGTACAAATTTTCAATTTTATGCAAGCCCTCTTCAACCTGTTCAATGCACAATTAAGATAGTGGTGGGTAACCTTGTTTTTCAGCTGGTGGAACAATTACAAGAAAGAATGAACAATTCATCTAAATGTTATTTTGAGCTCAGGATTGGGGAGTGAAGCAGAGTAGAAGTCCTCAACAACGTCCATTCTGCATACTCATTTTCCTGACACTCAAGTGGGGTAAATGCTTATAAAAATATACAGTTCTTTCATTGTTATCCTGCTACCGTGAACTCCCCTGTAACTAAAATTTTCAATTTTTGTATTAAAGCCATTTTAAGCCTCTATCCTAGTAAACCCTCTGCCTTATCTAAGTATCAGAACTGTGGAAACAATTTTATTCAGAAGCTTAACCAATAAGCTAGGATGACTGTTATGGGATACATATTCCCCCCTCCCCCCCCGCCCTTGCTAATTGACTAAACTGATGATAAATTTGAAGTAAAGAATCTCCACAGAAAAGAACTTAAAAGAGTTATGTAGAAATTAAATATAATTACTGGTGAGTACCATAAGTATGTGCCAAGATGGCATGTGCTAAAGCTGAGTGTAAAGTTTGGCCATTTTATGTAACTTTGTATTTAGCACACTAAGAAAAAAACAGAAATAACCACCACATAGAATGTAAGGAAATTTTCTTGGTTATCATTTTATGATTTCTGTATTTTCAGAATATTAGATAATAATGATTTCTCTACTAACAAAGGCAACTTTAAAAAAACCCCAACCAAACAACAGGTAGTTTTTATCAACATACACTACAAAATTCACTTTAAAATTCAACTTACAGAGCTAACAGAATTTAGGTGTAGTATTGTTTCAGTCTTCTCAGATAAAAACAAATCCTGTTCTTCAAAAGTTTTGTCAATTCTTTATTGCAAATTTTTTATCTAATGAATAGTTAAATAACTTAAGAAACTTAAGTTTAGATCACAGAACAAAAAACTGAAACAGTCAACCAATGCCCTCTAAACCTTTGTGAGCTTCTAGCCTCTCTTAAAATTAATGAAGGGTTCAAAAATTGCCCTCTTGAGATTACTGTCTAATTACCCAAATCCTCCCAGCTAGCATTACTCATTGATGTGTCTCACATATGCAGTACTGCACCAGCCTGTGCTTTCAAAGGGTTAACACAGATTTGAAATTAATCTGTGACATCAACATTTGAATTTTGTCATTTATAAACCTACCAGACTTTTAATGGCAATACTTTGATGTGGCTGTACAAGACAGACTGTTGAATACATAACAGACATCTTATTTGCTTATATAGACAATACTAACTGTATCTAGCTCAACTCTCAGTTGTCTCAGTAGCAAAGGACAGCAATATCCAGAGTAATTCTGTATACTGTACCAACTATACAAATCATATCAACCCCATTTACGTGCTATTCAAAATTACTGTAGCCACAGAAATTCAAATAACATTCAGCCAGAATGGGACTAAGGATGTACTACATAGTAGAAACATCAGTTGGAGTGAAATATTGTACTCTGTACTGGAAAAGATAACATTTTACTTCCAACCAGCAAATGTTTCTGGAAATAAACTAGCTTTATGGTCCTAAGGATTAAGTCACAACATTTCTCATAAAAAATGATTAATCTTTACAAAAAGGCAGGAAAATGAGACAGCTACTGCCGCCTACTTTGACATTTTCGTTCTTTGAAAAAAAAGAAAAAAACAAAAAACCCCCACCAAAACACAACAAAAACCCCATGAACTAGTTTATGAACAACAGCCTTCAGTAGTGCAGATTGTCAGACAAAATAATTTGTCAAGAATATTTCCGAGATAACAATCTTTTATTTTCTGCATTAAGAAAACACAGTGACATTAAACAGCTTTACTAAGAAATCTGATAAGCTTTGCCATTGAACACATAAGTCCTGAATAAGAGGTCACATTTCCTATACCAGCTATTTAAGTCTTATAGGAACACATGCAACTGTATCATTATTGTTGTTGTGTCCAACCGATGCTTGGAGTCCCACTCATTTGTAGAAGGCTCACCCAAGAATCCTTCTGGCCCTTTGAAGACTTGCATTTAATTTCCACAGAGAGTAAAACAAACAAAAACTGTTTCCTTCAAGCAATGATACTTTGTTCCAGTGCTCTCACTTACTTGAGTTATTTTTTCAACACCTTGAAAGCCATGTTTCTCAAAATGTTCAGCTATATTTAGGAAGGTATGACGTTCCAGATAACGGCAGTTACTAAGTGCAATTAAAAGCCTCTGTTCCTAAAAATTTAAAAGAAAGAGTATAATAGTTATAAAAAAGAAATATCAGCATGACCAATACTGTAAACGTATAGTATTTTATTGACTCTGTGTGTGATAGACATGCTGATGAATAAAGTAGAGTTTACAAATATTTTTGTCAATAAAACACCAAGAACTGAGTGAATATCAGGTATGATGACTGAAAACGTATGCTTTTTCTTACAGGATCTGGAGCATTCACTGGAATAGCTGTGACTAATACAGAACGTGGTTAAGACTTCTTTACAAAAATTTGGTTTGGACAGCTTTCCAGGAAGCCGTTTCTGGCTTTTACTTTGTTTCAAGAAATATGCTAAGAATTATGACCATCATAGAATTAACTGAAGATCATCTTCACTTTCACATGAAGCTGGCTAAAACAAGGGAAGCAAAACAGGTACTGAACGAATGGACTCACCCATTCTAAAATACTAGAAGGTTCATAATATAATTTCAGCAGCTAATTTGAAAAAATTCTAGGAGGCTATAACTTATCTCAGCTCTTCAATGATTTTTTTTTTTTTTTCCATTACAAGAAGGTCAAATACATTCTGGAGTTGAGATACCAGAATTGCCTTTCCCTGACCTTGATGCAGCAAGGTGTAGTTTTCAAAGAGACAAAGAACCAAACAAGTCAGACATACTATTTAAATAGATTCCATCTTCCCCTCTCATTCTTCCAAAGGGAAAACATTTTTATATCTCAGACAGAAGTTCAAAATCAACACCAGCAAATATTCTGAAAACCAAATTATTTGGCAATGAAGTCATCATAATAGTGCAGATCTGATTAAAAATGGTGTTGGTTTTCAGACCCAAAAGAACTTCTGACAGTTTTGTATTCCAGTAATACGATGACTAGTATGGAGATCTGCAGTTGCCTACTACTTTAAATTATAATCACTTGGTACATAGACTAATTAAAAAAATAAGAATTTAAAAAATACAGTGACAAATCTTACTCTGATCACTCACTTTCTCTGTTCTCATTACTCAGTCAAGGAAGAGAAGATAAAGTGTTCTGTGATTTACAGAAAAAAATTAGTAGGATACCACAGAAACCAAATATTGTATAAAATTGTTGATTTCTTCTTTTTTATTTGACATAAAGCTGGGCTTCTGACAACATTTAAAACCTGTACTAAGGAATATTAAAACTTCACAACAGGTTCTTACTAGGTTTCTTGCAGGGAATAACTACCTTTTTTTTCATCAGCCACTGGACTAGAAGAAAGTACATTAACCAAAGTAAAAGTATCAAGAACATTAAAAACCTTTTTACCAATTTCCTAAAAGACAAAACCAAATCCAAACAAGTCAAACAAATAGTCAATATTTACTCTCAGTCAAGTAATTTATTTTTTTTGTCAAAAACTACATTGTCTGTATCTTCATGGGTTTTAAAAAGTAACTAATAACCAGACCAGTTCTTGTAATTTAAAACAAGGTGATAAATCAAAAGTCAAATCCTCAGCTGTCTTAACACCGGTGCTATTTTCACCGATTCCAGTGATGCCATTTTAGTTTCTGAGGAGGACCTCATTTCAAAAAATGTCTTCATTAGTTACCTTAAGATGGTATACTAAGATATCATAAACGAACAGTGCTTTTAAAGAGTCTTATATGCAAGCCTTGTATCCTTGTATTTTCTTATGCTTATACACATATGTATCTAGGAAATGCCTCCAGAATACAGAATTGCTCTCTAAAAAAGGAAAACACCCTCCTGAAATACTTAATAAAAAAAAAAAAAAAGGACCACATTCTTGTACCTTTGAGAAATACTAAGTTTCACATCAGCTTTTAGAAATAGAAGCCAAACTTACTGAAGAAAGACTTGCGTCTTCATGAATGCTTCCAAACAAATCTGGAGATGAAACATCAACTGAAAGACTAGGAATATTGTTTAAAAAGTGAGTAGTATAGTGCTTTTGATTATCTGATACATGGTGGATTCAAATGAACAGTTGGAACAGAAGACTTGAATCTTGCTTAAGCCTGCAGGAGCTTTGTAGACGGACAGTACTATTCTAGGTACAGACCTTTCCTTCTTAAAGCATTTTAATTTTCTATAATTTCTCTGGTTTGTCACAGATTCCGTTTTGTTTTTACGCCTATCCAACCAGCAGAGTCATCCAAACAGCAAAAAAAAAAAAAAAAAGTGGCATTAGGACCACAGTTAATTTGTCTTTTTCTAATGCATATTGCAGGTATCTATATTCGCCAAGTCTCTGGCTTTTCACAAAGAAATGACTGGTACTCTTGGAAACTCAGGTTATTCTGACTTGTTTTGGTCTCTGAAATAAGTGGCTCGTGAGCAATTATCGAACAAACTAACTTCCAAGAATTTAGCAGAAATACCGATACAATCAGTCAAAATAGAGGGAAGAAAATAAAGTCAGGGACTGTTTCCCCATGACTAGACATTATTTAGTGACAAGGACAACTCATTCCATGTAAGGTCATATCAAAAACCTACACAGCTGCTTCTACAGCACACAACTTCTGTCATTGACTAAAATGGTATAAATAATCCCACATTCATTATCTTGTACAATATTTATTACACGATGTCACTCAATTGTTTGGCACAAAAAAGTATCTGTTCTTATTTCAAAGCATCACTAACTACAGGCAAAAGTATTAACAAGAAATATGGAATACCAGAGCAGACAAAACCACACCACCACTGAAATTTGACACTTGCACCCACAATTTCAGAATACTACACCTAGGTCCTATTTATTTTACTTACTGTGCTGTATCTATGTCACCGTCAGGTTTGGTGCTCAGTTGTTCCAAACAGTCTATAAAGACCTAGAAAACAATAAAAGAAGTTCTACATTTTCTGCCAGAACTAAAAAAAATTCTTAAATTCACTTTTACTACAGTCAATAGAAACAGAACAATCATCATCACCTTTTGTCTTAAACCTTACATAAATACAGTGACATTTTAGTTACACCTTTTGAACGTGTATTTTCAATTTTTCATGCATCACAGTTTACTTGTAGCAAAACAGGAGTTTTTAATCCTGCTAAGTGATTTTCATCATGCATGTCTAAAATTATGCAGTGATAATCTGCTGATTTGCAAAGAAGGCATTGTTAATAGTTTTCAAGTGTTCCATCTGAACAGTTGATCCCAAGTAAACATCACAGAAGCATCACCAAAATGCATTTTTTGCTCTGGCTCATCATTTCTTATTTGAGAAGACTACAAAAATGGTTCAAAAGCCTAAAGCATGCTATTATCTGATTTCAAATATATTAAAAAAAATAAATCAGATTTTGTTACAAAGAATATTGGTTTGTGACACAAAAATTAAAAGATAAATCTTCAGCTGATGAAAATCAGCATTGCTCCTTTTACTGCAGTATATGGATGTTAGATGACATCAGCTCAGCAAGTCTCTCTCAATCATCAGTAAAATCTTGAACAGTCACAATCAGTAAAACACTTGAATATGTCACTTACCCTCTGAGGATTTGATATTACCAGATTCAGCTAGTAAGCTCTACATGTTTTTAAAGTCAAACATTTCTCAGTATCCCAGAGTGTATCAGAGGAATAACACAGTCATCAACTTAAGCTACCTTTTGGGAGGTGGGCAGGGTACAAGGCACACGTTTTTGTTGATCACTTGTGTTCACAATTTCATACTTAAAAGTGCTCAAGTTACCTGCATGATCCCAATGCTTAGCTGGCATACATCCTCCTGTGTTTTCTGCTGCTGGAAAACCTGAAGATGCAAGCATATTATTTCAGCAGAACAGCTTCACGTGGTCTTATTCTCAAGGAAGGTCTGAGTAACCTATCCCTGAAGAGATGACACAATTATAGGAATGGCTGCTGGGACAGTATTTTCTCAAGGACCAATTTTTCCCCACCCTAAAAACTGGGAGAATACAAGTCCCAGTAAACAGTTTGACAAGCACGAGGAGATAACACACTAAAAGGAAAGAAGTCCTAGTACATGTGATATGTATCATTGTTGGCTAATTGCAGCAAAAGCTCCCAGGATATTGAAAGATCTTTGCACCCTAACAAGAAGGATTCACCATGGACTGCAGATTCTTTTGAATAATGTTCATTAAGAAACTACACAAGCTAGCCATAAAAAATAAAATAAGGGAGGAGAGAGAAACAATACTCATACAGAGAGGCCCAAAAGACTTTGGAAAAGTGTTAAACTTTGTTAGATCACTGAAACCTGAAAGAAAACATCAGTATCACCACCAGTCAGGGCCTCAATGTACTATGTGGATGGGTACAATCAGGACTCCTGATTCAGAATAAAGTTTACAGAAGTAAAAAGTTGAATTCAAGTTCTGCAAGTAGTTTGGATGCAACACTGAGTGAAGAGTAACTCTAGGAATGGCCCCCTCCCCTTTTTTTTCTCATGTAAATAAAGTCACATCTACTGCTATCTGAAAATTACGTTAGTAGTATTTTTTCAAAAAAAAAGCTTTAAAGATTTAAATATAGGTCCAATCTGCCTCATATGCACACAGTTATCCCTAACAAAGCAAACACAAATGGAATTCTAAAAGGTAGAAGCAGTGAAAAGGGTACACATTGAAAAAATTAAAGAGGAAAGTTATACCCCTGTATCATTCTCTGAAAGTTCTTGTTCTGAAACCCAATAGTAATCCACATTAAAAAAAAAAAAAAACACCCACAAAAATAATAAAAGCATAAATCAAAACTTACGCTGGCCTCTCCAGGTTTGCTGTCCAGCGCAGTTTTAAGAGATTGTAAGGAATGGATGATGCACTGTTCAAACTGGGATGGCTGAAAGGCAAATGACTTGTTAGCTTTAGACAAGCACGTCAAATGTATACTACACAAATATATAAAAAACTTCCGTACCATATGGTAAGCTCCTTATTTCCAACTTATCCCAAATAAAGGGGGGGTGGGGTAGGGAATCATGATTCACATGTATTACCAGAGGACCCTTTTATAGTGCTGTACTCATGTACTTAGCTACAGAATTATTACCATAGTTCAATGTACTTTTTTTTTATCTGAACAAGAGACTTCTACACCAAACAGCCTCCTCTAAAAGGGTTATGAAAGATTTCTACAGCTTGTTCATGGTAGCATATATTGACAATTGAATTATTGATGCCTGTGACAACACCCCTCCTCTCCTCCCTGATCTATGTTGGGATAGAAATTCACCCAGGATATCTGATATTTCTGCATTTTATTTCATCAAAAGGTTCCTAAGAAAAATGGACTGAAGTTGACTTCACATGGAGAGAAAAAAACCCACTGGTTTGGGGGGCTTTTTTTTACCTTCACATTTCCAAACCTGAAGTATGAATGTCGTGATGCATGTATCAATTTCACTCTGAAAGTGCAAATGAGTTCACAGCATCAGAGTCATTAGTCAGTTTTTCCTTGTCTTTTTTTCTTCCCTGTTAAGTCAGACCTTTTTTTTTTTTTTTAATGAGGCTGCCTGCTGGTATTAGGCAGGAAGCTGTTAAACAGGGTAACATGTAGCAGAGGACGGTCACTGTGCTAGAAAAGAGGGACATGATCCTATTGGATTTGGGTCAGAGGTGAACAAAAAAAGCTTCTAAGCCATGTAAACCTTCTTTTCATCCAGTAGATAGTTTATGGCATGTCACCAACTTTAGGCTTAGGAGTGGATCATGAAAATGATGCCTGCATGGCAACCTGAGAATCATGAAAAAAACCACTAAGACAATCTGGATTTATAATTTTTGGACCCACTTAAAAGAAAACAAAAAGCAGTAAAGTACTGCTCTGGGGTTTTTGTTTGCACATAATAAAACATCACACCTCAGGAGGAGAGAGCTGTTCAGAAATGTTATTCTTTGGACATTTATGAAACTGAGGGAAGTTGGTTCTTTGTCTTAATGTATCTTTTACCTGGAATATGAATGCTAAAGGGGTTATCAGCCAGCATTTCGTACAAACTTAAAATACAGTTTATATCTTAAGCCTCAAATGTCCCCAGAGAGACTGCCTGGTCCTTGTTTATACTGGTTAATTTTTGTTACATTTTTTGCTATAATATTACCACAATTAACTCTAGTGGATAAATAACACTGCTACGACAAAGCATAGCCAACTGCCACCATTAAAATTTGGCATGTCTCAAGTATGGCCTCAAAAGGTACCTAGGAAAGGACTGTATACAAGGAATTCATGGGCAATTTCTAAATCCAAAAAAGGACTTAAGCAGCTTTTAAACAAAGATGGCTTAGGATACAGCAAAAGCATAAAGAAACAAAGCTTTTGTGGAAGATCCTTTCTCCTCCCTCTATTTTACAGATGAATAGAGTGAAAAACAGAAAAGTTAAGGGACTTGCCCAAGTCAGCGGCAACTGAAACCAAGACCAGAAGCTGTAAATCTGGTTATAATACTAAAATTGCCCAACAACACTCCTTCCTACAATGTGTATATTGTCATTGCTTAATGCCCTCCTACTCAACTTCAAACACGTATTTATAGAACCAAATAAGAAAAAGTAACAAAGTCTGTGGAGCATTCTCTTAGATAATATACACAAAGCAACTCTCCCTCCCACAGGCCCTTTCTGCTTTCGCAGATTGTTTTTAAGTCACACCTACAACATGCTCGCTGTGTTTTAGGCATTACTCATTACTGTTTATTTCCAGAAAGCATCTCACTAATTTATCTGAATTTGGTTTCAAGTCATTTGTTGTTTGTGTGTAGGCAATCTCCTAAATTAGTTGCTTTTCAGTTCAATTTCTCATTATAACATGTAAGTGACCTATTTATTTAGCTACAGACCAATTCCATGGTAGTGTGCCTACTAAGTTATGAAGCATTTTGGTGTGAACTGAACTTGTGACCTCAAAAATCATATTTTACCTCAGTAAACCATCCCTAAAATAAGATACTTAATGAAAGTTATTATTGTTTATCTCAGTAAAATCATGCTACAGGTCAGCAGTAATTATACCGATACATTTAAACAACCTTACTTAAGACAGAAAGTCATGCTACTTATCTTGAGGCCCAATTCTTATTTGTCTCTCAATACATGGCACAAATCTGCAAAGCTTTTATTTATGCTTTTTTCTTCCTGTTTAGCACCTTGAAAAATATTGCTGCCTAGTAGCACCATTATCACTTAAAGTTACTTCAGATATAATAGTTTAAGAAGTAAAAATTTTGAAAAAGGAAAAAAAAAATTGTGTTTGGTGACTGGATATCTGTTAAGAGTGCTGTAAATAAGTAAGCATCCAAATGAAAAATTTTGCAATTTATCTTCTTGTATTTCCACCAGTATGCACATATATAGACAAAGTCCAAAATTATTCAATTTTTGGAGAATACAGAAAGCAGTTTCATCACACTCGAAAAAAATACAAATTCCATCAAAGGAAGTGCCTACAAGGCATACAAGTATACCCACCAACGATGTCAAACCTTCATTGTCAACAACCCAGTCTTCCTTTTCAGCTAACCTCTTTATATCTGCAAGACAGAGCAAGAAGAAGGGGAGCAGAGGGAGAAGATACTCATTTTCATTATTAAAAACTCCTTGAACTTGAAAAGATAAACCACAGACATTGGGACTGCAATGACTAGGCATACAAGCAAATAGCACTACAAGCTTCAAAGCTTTCAGCATTCTCAAATGACTAAGAATGCAACTCGTACATGGTATGCTGGTGACACCACACAGAGAAGCGTATCTATGACAGATGGCAAGAGTTGCATGAAGCACATCTTTTACTGGAAAGCTTAAAATTAAAGGAATATTATGAAGGTTTTGTGTTTGTTTTTGTTTTGTAAATTTTTAATCACAGTATCAAATACTGCATTTAAGAACCCAAGTCTCTAGTCTATTATACTCTAGCTCTTAATTAAAAATGAAAGAACAACTACCTAGCATTTTAACAGACAAAAAGGACAGCATATAATTAATATTTAATAACTATAAAAGAGGCACAGGGTCCCCACTTGAGGTCAAGGATCCATGGTGCTAGACTTTCTTCAAAAATACATGAAGGCATATGCAAAAAGCACTCTCTTCCACTACCCAGAAGGTGCCAACTTCTGTAGGCTTACTGAAGCTAACAGGAGCTAAGCCAGGATGTGAATCCAAAGTTCATGCACTATAAACAAGATTCCTATATGGACACATGCATTCTCCATCACCACTTTTTTTGGGGGGGGTTAATCAACTTGCAAACAAAACAAAGATGAGCTGTACGCAGTTTGTGTGGGCTTTGACATAGTTTTTCACACACAAATTGCTTATCAGAACTGTCTGTACATCAATGAAACTTCCTTTTAAATAAGCAAAAGTTTCAGTGAATTACCATCTCTCCCCAAAATCCAAGAAAAGAGTAAAAATAATGCATGCTGAAAGGTATCTTTGGTATCTTGGTGCTTTAATTAGCTAAATTAAGAAGCTTGGTTATGGACTTACACCCCGCAATTCTACATCTCATGGAAGTATAGGCTTAGTGAGGATAAAGGGTATTAAGGGATTGTGCAGAATTACTACTCTGTTCATTTCCCTATTTAGTAAACCTCTTAATTCAACTGATATTCTTGCGAGGCTTTAGATTGCACTAGTCGGCCTTTACACGTTTCTGTGGCTGCTCACTTTTGCATTCTGTTCTGAGCTAATATAAACACAAAAGAAACAAATTTATTTCTCGTATTTCACTGCTCACCAAATTCCAGTCAAATACATTCATGTAAACCCCCTGTCTAGTCTGGCATTCACATAATTTGGCTTTTGTGACCTTTATGACCAGTGATCACGTATGAGAGGGAAAGAACACAGACGGCTTCTCAGGGCCAGTGTGAGTATATGGTGTTTATCATAAAACAACAAGAAAACCCTGTGCGTGGGCAGATTTGTCCTATCTAAATAGCTAATGGCAGAGGGTTCTATTAAAAATTTTAACTGATCTGAATGCTTCTACCAACTTAAAACATGCAGCAAGAGATGAGACTGAACTTTAGATCAGCAGTCTACGCAGCTCATATTTCAGAGATATTAGAGGTGAGATTCAAGTCCAGGAGGAGCCTTTTTGACTTGTATATTACAGATATATTACATCTGAGTTTCATTTACATAACTGCATGAGAATATCCATTAACTGTTCTTTCACTGGTTCCCTAAAACTAAGTTTCTCCAAGGGCCCAGTTAAACCTGTCCTTTCCAGAAAAAAAATCACACTAAACTATCTAAACACATTCAACATGTAATTCTGCTTTAGCTGGTGAAGAACAACAAAAAAAAAAGGCTCCCATAGATAAGTCATGCAGTGTGGCAGTATGGAGTGAGAGTCATCATTCAGGCAGGCATCTTTTCTCTTCTCATGTTTGATGCTACAGCCAATACACAGAACTGCTTCACTGATAGGAGATGGAAGCAGCAGTCAAGAAAGGCTGCTGTTATTGGCTAGATGAAAGAGATACACGTTATCCAGCCAACATAACACATTGCCATCTTAAGGGATCTGATCTCTTGATTCAAGAAAGAAAATTATGAATAAAGATGTTCAGACCAAATACAGACTCACACACATAGACTGGTAAATCTACTTGTACAAAAATCTAAGGTACAGACTACCACAAGAGTTTTTCCTCCACAGAACGTATGTAGTCAGCACTCAGGATGCAAGAAGCAGAAACTCTGGATCTGAACAAAGAACTGGGCTATCGTTATGATGTAACAAGTGGCAAAACTAGTAAGACAGCAGACCTTTTGGTTGAGAGCTTCATCGTTAACCATGTATCGAGGCTCTCTGTACTGCACTGGAGAAGCTAGATGGGTAGCTCAGAGACTTGATAAGGTAAGGATTGTCAGTAAAACGGTTCAGAGCTAGATACATGCTTCCTTTGAAACAGTCAGAACATCTGAGGAATGACTCACAATTCCTAGACAAAGGGCAGTCAGTCCAATAGGACCAACCTCATGTCACAATAAAAAACACAGTCTTTTCACTTACCATTTAAAAAAAATCCCAACATATAATTGGTCTCAGTTGTGCTAAGTGAAGAAAAGCAAAAGAGACTTCCTCACACTTTAAGTGAAATATGAAATAGTGGTAATACTTTCTGTATAGAGTTTTAAAGAGACAAGACAACATATGTACGTGTATGGCCAACTAGCTTGATATGAACGCAGAAAAACAATGTTAACACAGAAATGGGACTTAAAGAATTAAAAGCCAAGAATAAAATTTATATTAACACAGCATCAAATAAACCATAAAGGCCTTATGATTTGCCATCATCAAAAGTTTAAAAGTTTGCTTAATATAGCCACCTGCACTTAGCACACGTAAAGCCTGAGTAAAACACTTAGCTTCATATCAGCCTACAAAATAATAATGAATCATATGTTAAAGATTAAAAATCCACTAAATTGTAAGATTAAAAAAGCTCTAATTTTTTTAACAATAAGGGTAATTAGTCTTTTGGAAAAAAAACCCTGATAAGTGAATTAGTAGATAAATCTGCCTTGATTTTAAGAGATACATTTATTTCTGGAAGATTTACTTCATTCATATTTAAGTTTCAGACTTGAATACAAGATGGTAAGATGAATGGCCTTGGATGCCCATAGAGTCACATTAGATTTTGAGAATATGTTACTGGCCTTGACAATCCAGAGATTTATGGCAAAAGCTGTGTACACAGCAGAAAGCCTGGGGATTTTAATGTTAGTAAAAGGCCTTGGAAAACACACAACTAAACTACTTCACAAAGGGTTGTGGATTTTTTTTTTCTTGGGGGAGGGACATTGCTTATTTAATTCTTCACTTTATAGAAGAACTCAAAAAAGAAAATAAATTATATTTCCAATACAGAAAAGCTGCATCATGAGATAAATCACTTGCATTGTAAAACTGTCTCAACCCAAAAGAAACAGATCTAAATTACTGTATTCATTAGACTAAGGGAAGAAAAGACTCAACATACATTTCTGTCAGAAAAGTGAAATACTTGAATAACTTTTGTGAGATATTACAGAACTCAGAGGAGTCCACTGCCACTACAATATCTGTACAAACATGGTTATCTTCCAGAACATGGTTTGGCCTAATTGGAGGCAAAAAATACGGTAGTAAGCAAAGAGGCCTGCAGCCTTCTATTACCTTCAGCTGTGTGTTGTAAAGTCACTATAATGCAACGTACACGAAGGTCCAAAATAAGATCCTGGATGATCTGAAGCATATCATTGGGTATCTCGAGTGCAGTAAGAGACTCAGAACTAAGCCTGGAAAGCAAATAGTTAGACTGAAGCATAAAACTGCGGAGTTTTTTAAGCTGATATAACTTCACTAAATTTTTTCGACATTTTCTATGTCTGTGAATACAGTAGCTCCATCCACAGGGTATCTTTGAAAACAGACTATCTCATTCAGAGAAGATTAATTATTTACTTAATTCAGAAGCTTGTAAATAAAGATTCATTTTTCTGTAACATTACAATAATGTCGTCACAGCAACATGCCAACTTTCCCCACTGTCCTGTTGCACTTCCCCACCTGCTTTTCTCCATCCATCTCTTGTCTTACAATCCAAGAATAATCCCTTTGGAACAGAAGTAGCTTTTTTGCTGTTTATATGTGAATGCCTAGATCAAATCCTAGGTCCACAACAGGGTTTCTGAGATGTTTACCCACATTACGACAGTAACAGCCATCAAGCTGCCATCACAAATTGTGATGTGGCTGTGCATCAGATTGCCAAGAGTATACACATTTAAGGAGCCAAAATACAGCTACTGCATCACCTGCAGAGTGAAGAGTGAATTCATTCACTGTTTTGCTCCCAACTCTGACTGGTCACAAATCACCAGCTACTATAGCTGGGGATGGCAACATTCATTTCCTTTTTTTCCTTTAGAAATAGTAACACAGCAGATGCTTGCAAGGAATAGCATTTCAGCTTTTAACTAAAAGGCTGCAGTTGTACTCAGACAACTTGGATATTTAATCAAGGACAATTCAAATGCAGTCATTGCCGTCTACCCTACTGCTAAAACTGAGCAAAGCACAGGTACTAGAAAATGCCAAAGAAGAGGAGTAGGAAGGCACAAGCAAAAAACTTTGAGTAATAAATAGAACCTTTCCAATTATCCACTTGTTCCAGTTCCTTACCCCTGGTGTTGGGCATAAACCACCAAAATTCCACCATTACCCAGATTGCTATCTGCTCAGCACAACTACTGAATTAGTACATTACATAAACCTGCACTGTCTCAGCCATCCAGAAAGCACAGGATGTAAATTCCCATCTGTGAGAAGTTTAAGCGATTTTAGACTGCACAGAAGTCCTGTACTCAGAGTTGATTCCATTTCTAAAGAAGCACACAGCGGTCACATCCCTAATATAACTTTTTCCCTCATATAAAACTCATCCTAACAAATACAAACCTTTCTATCCTTACAGCAAGGCAAAAGTCTTGCAGACAACAGCCTCAATGTATCGCACAGCTCTAATTTGTCCTCTGGAACCTATTCATACTGGGCAATGACAGGGGTACAAGAGAAAGATCATGCAACTACCCCACTTTAAGCTGTGTGATATATGAAAACAAACAGAAAAATTAAGATCACACAGATGTAACGACAAGTCCTTGTTATCTAATTTCAGAAGTTTTAGCATTCTTAAATACAAGCAGAAAAGAGTAAATCATTAGTGAGATGACTGAAAAGAATAAAATTCTATCATATGCTTCATGACAACTTTATGTTAGAAACCATAAAAATAAGATTTAAGCTATTACATAGCTTTGCAACAAATAAGGTTTTTATGCAATGCGTTGACTCTTCATGAGAAGACTCCACCTTCTTCATTGGTGTGAGTCATAAGAATTTATTAGATGGTCAAAGTGTGGGGGTTCAAAAAGAAAAGTACTTGCAGCACTTGTAGAAACTTCTGACCTGGTCATCACTGGTTGGTACCCCACCATGGTATGCTCAGTTCCTCTTCTCCAGATTGTCCCTTTTATTCTCTACTTTTGACTGCTTTGCATTAAAGTCTAGCTCACTTTACTGAAGTGCCAGCACAGGCATCAGTAAGAATATGGAGGCCAAGGGGGTTGGGTGGGGTGGGCAGGAGGAAGAATGGA